TTGCACAAACAGGAACAACGCCATATTACCGTTTAGTAATCAGTGTATTCAGCATGGAGATGGATGAGTGGATAAGAAATACTGGCTAACGGACGCTCACGCATTCAGCTGCGCAGTATCGATGTCCTTGCAATGTCCACTTTTTATGTTCCGTCAGGTGATAGCACATCGCTTAAGTGCGAGGACTCGGAAGGACTAGCAGCTAACGGATCAAGCCCAAACAAGTCAAATTATCAGACTGGCACGAGACGTCTCGCACGACAAAAAAAAACAGCGTAAACGACAACAACCGATCCTGTCAGATTGCTAGGATAAAGGGTTTTGCATCGTTTGAGGGCGCTGCCTGCCTTCGTCGGAGACGTTGAACGGCTCCTCAGAAGGCGAAAGCGTGTTTGCAACGCCTGGGGGTTGGCGGTACAGGAATAGCTGCTTTGTAAAACCCCTTACTTGCTCCCTGCTTGACACAACCGAGAGAAAGGACCCGACCCGTGGTAAGTGGTGGTGGTGATGGCAGTGGCAGTTCTGGGGTAATTGCGAGACGTAGGGCGGAGTCTGTATAGTCCCGCCCCCCAACACAATATTAAGGAACAGCCAGGGGATGCCCAGAGAACGCTGAGCGGGAACCAAGGCTACGAAGAGCATGGAGAACCGAACCTTCCACATCGTGGTGCTAGGGGAGCGTCCACAAGTACTTACATATGATCATATGAGATGGAAGTCAGGTTTATAAGGGTGTTCCGCCAAACGTAGCTCTGTTCCACAGACAAAGACAGACGTGTATTTTCTTCCTTTCATGTTAAAATACATAAGCCCTCCGGTTTCTGTCGAGGCCTGCTTCGAGGACGAGGAAATGATTGTGGTAGATTTTCGTACATAAGATGAATTTACGCCATGAAAGAGTACGCCACAGAGAATACTAATACAACGGGCAGTGAAAGATTGAAGGGCTAATATACCTTACCACTGTTGGTTAGTAGGACTACCATGCAGAAACTGGAAGTTGGTTTTCGCAATTTATTGATAAAGGAACTTTATTTTCAACATTTATTGTATTTATTGGTTGACCCTACACACAATGTAACGCAAACCTCACGGGAACGAAGGATAAACTTAAGAGAAAGCACACCGAAAATTGAACTTATCACAGGGATTCTATTGAATCTTGACGCTATTTCTACCTTTACAAATAAGTCAAATAGGACCGTCAAAAACAATAGTGAGATGACACATCTTTTGAAAAGGGCATATACGCATGCGACTGTATTTATTCATTAGAATAATAACTGCGTATCTTGTACGACTCTACACTGTTCATTGTTATCCATATACACCTAGACGATTTAGGACAAGCTGAGTTAGCCTGGCCGACGGCCAGAGCTGTTTCGCAGCTTCAGGTCGATTCAGACGTCTCCAGCGACGAGCATTCGAATAACGAAAAAATGTGGAATTTCGACAAAAGACAGACGCCCTCGCGTAGCGATCTGACCTGCGCGTTTAGTGATCGATATAACCATAACAACAATAAAATACTTCGCCCGTGGCAATACAGTCTTCTCGAATCCTGTGTAAGCGTCAAGGAATTCAGATCGTAATGGTAGCAGCAAGATCAGCAACAGAAGTGTGTCGAACCTATCGTAGCTTCAGACATCTATTCAATTTAGGTTCTGAAGGATTCCGAGACGAAGATTCGCTGTAGGTACATTCTACATAGAAGGTTTGAATCAGATATATGTGCGTAATACGGGAGTCAACTTACGGTTTTGCCGTTGTGTTGTTTGTTGCCGTTTAGACAAAAAATAATCAACTGCCTACCACCGAAATGTTCTTTCTAGTTATGGGTTTTGAGGACAGTCTAAGCGTATACTGTGCAAAAAATGATGTTTCATAACAAGCGAGGGTATGATGCCACAAGCGAGGCTTTATGTTATAGTAAAAAGTAATGTCTACGTAACATAGTTGCTTTTTAAGTCGATCCCTTATAGCCGTGATTCATGCGCAATGCAATCGAGAATGTTGTTTGTATCCAACACTCATAACCTCGTAGACCTCCATTCGGATAATTGGGCAACTGAAGGCTAAACCATACAAGTAAATACACGTTTACTGGATCGCGAAAACTTCAAACGAACTAGTTAGCAGTAATGCATACATTCGTATAGATTAAATATATTTAGATAATTAGAGGATCACAAGTTACATTGTAATGAGTTAAAAATACTATCGTTTGTAAACACGATCAGCTAAAAGGGGACAAAGAACAAACTGAGGAGAATTTTTCAAAATGAGCTCCAACCGAGCGACTCGTTACGCGTACGATGTGGTTCAGACTGGTTAGTGGACAGAACGAAAATGATTAAGCCTGAGAAATATATGCATATATATAAGGCAAGCGGGGTGTTTTTAGGTCCATCTAGGTAACATCGTCTCGTAAATGCAAACTACTACAATGATATTAGCTATCAGCTATTCGTAATCCAGTTAAACTAAGAAGTTAACTATGAACAGAGCGATCTGAAGCATACTCATACTAAAAGGCATACTCTTTCTCATACGTCGACATACCTGAAGTAGCTACGAATCTACTTCAACTATCCTTCAGCTACTTCAGCGTATAATAGCGGCAGCAAAACCAAACTTCTCTTCGCCTTTTAACACATTAACATGAATTAAGACAATTAACCTAGCTCACTTTCTATTCACTTCCATTCACATAACGGTTTGCCCGGGTGGGCAAGGACGGCAACAAACATCAGTGTTTTGTTGATATAGTCGAGTTAATCCACACTTCAATATCGGTATTGTAAACCTGTTGGATCTTTCTTCAGAGGCAATCGGTCCGCGTAAGATCGTGGGATATGTTGAAATCAGTAGTCCGAATCCATCTCCGTCCTTCGCACATTTAAATCAGGCTCATATCGTCGTTTCGACAGAGACGGAGCTGGCAATCCCAATTCAAAGGCGACGACCAACCAGCAAAGTGGACCGTCCATAGAACACTTCAATCATCGATCAGTGAAACCCCTTTGATGACGACGTAGGTCCTCAGGCAGTCCTGTGGTCAAGTAACATTTAGAAGTGCTGTTGATAGGATGTGTAAAGATACATACCTGTGTCTAGATCAGATTCCACATCGTTACCTCTACTGGGCTTGATGAAAACCATGTCGGTGTGCAATGCTGTGCTGGTCTGATTTGACAGTCGAAAATTAAATATATTTCTGGCGTTAGCTAGAAAGTGCTTAATCTAGTACTACTGAACGTTTTAGGACTTGCGTGTTAGTAAAATGGCGAAACTTTTTTTTCGTTGAAGTTGATCTTTTGTCCACTTCCAAATTAATCGTGTTTCTTTAGCATCTGTCCGAAACAAAGCAAGCGGTTTTGGGGTAATCTTTTTTAGGATTTTTAGGGCTTAGGGGTTTTATTAGGGCCTACCTAACAAGGTTACACGAGATTTCACGAACGGCTAATAGATTATATCGCTTTTCCTCTTCTGCCTTCCCTGCCAGGAACTAGCAGTTTGATCTAGCAGCTCTTGCATTTTTTGCGCTCCGGTATTGTGCTGCGCCGAAATCTCCGACAATTTTTTACAGAAATTTTATAGTGGAGTATAGTCCAGAGTGAAACACTTCCCGCGTTTGTACTCTGGCTATACTACGTAGGGTACACGAGGTGAGTAGTACGTACACCGGCAACTTCATCGGTGTATTTCTTACGGCTGCCGTCGGCCCTCAACAGCTAATGGCCGACGTGTCAATATTCACTTTTTACTTGGTTGTTTTTGCCGACCTTTGCCGGCTTCAGACAGAGGTCAAATTCGAGTCGACATCTGACTTATATCCCGCTGGGGCCACTGCGGGCATGCAGTCGTTTGATAGTTTCCGCTCTCTAACATTTGTACTGCGGCCAGGAAACTAACCACCGTCGTCATTAGACAGATATGAATGTGTCTAACCTGTATATTGTCGGAGAGGGAATGCAGCGCGAAGACCCTGTCGCCTGCGTTTTCATCTGTTTGAAAACCGAAGAAACAAGTTTACTTCACCGTGATGAACAGAAAAATGCAACGCTGTAAGATGATTTACGATGGACATGATAGGGTCCACGCACAGGGCGTCTCACGAATGGTGGCCATGGCATTGTCAAAGGGCCCAACACTTATCGCTGACCACAACACCTACTTTACCCACAAGAATTAAGGTTTCACCCAAACGAAAACACAAAAAATTTTTTGTCTGCACTCAGGGTTTTTATTTCTATGCACTCACTGTTATCTCATTTGGTGTCGCCTCGTTAATGACTGTTACGCTTGTAGCTTGTTGATCTCCAGAAAAGCCGCCTTGATCACGTTTTCGATAAGATCTTTATCTTGGTCAATCACAATACCTTTCAGGTATTTGATAGAATCTTCCTGAAACTTCTTCCGAATATCCTCGCACTGGCCCTTTTGCGGACAGCCTCCTCTTCTCTTAATATCTTCGTACGTACTCAGGAAGAACTGTTCCAGCTTTTTCGTGGAATCCTCGCTAAGGTGCATATTCTTCGCGGTATCTAGCAGGATCTTCTTGCTTTCCTCAGCAAACTTCTTTAGTTCACAATCGGTAATGCACCTCTCAGCCATCGTTCACCGTGTCAGTTTCCAACTTACGGATAGATCGAGTCTCAGACGACGTTGCCTTAGTCTAGTAAGCTTCGTTATCTGGTTTCATACGCTAGCGTTATCTAAACGACATTCATACTGTGCTATATCTTATATATACAAAGTAGATAACAAATATCATTCTAATAAGCGAACATTTAATAGACGATACTTTGAGACCCTTTTCAATTGCAAGATGGGTCGAACTGCCACTTAAGTATTACATCCTAATGACAGTGATCCCAGACAGTATTAGCCCTATTATCATATGCCCCTCCCTGTCGAATTACGTCAATTTAGCTAGATGCCTTTACAATATTCTAGATAACCTGCAGTTAAATTATCAATCGTAGTTTAAGGTGATTTTGTGTCTCGTTCTTTGATTCTTTGTGTGAATGTACGATCGATTCATAGCAATGTAGCGCTTTACAAGTTTATCGAAACGTGACGGCCGCCTATGGGAAAATTTTGGTCAGTTTTGAACAGCGGTAAAATTCCCGCTGTTCAAAGTTCCGCTGACGGTAGAGACAAAAAAATTATAATTTCAGCTCGAACCCATTCTTTGGTGGCAATCGGTGGGTTGTACGGTGAAACAACTCGTATAGGACTCATTTCAATACAATAAACGTGTACCAAATGACAGAAGTCGATTTTACATTGACAACAACGCCAATCTAACTCTGGCCAAATTGCCTATATCAGAAATGTCACCAGCCGATCTGTGTGTGGAAAAAAGCGGATTCGTTTTGAATGCACACGTTTAACCGTCAACCAGGTTCAAGCCCATGTTGTGCCCACGTCGTTCGAAGTCGCTGGAGATGACAAAAGTTGATTGAACAATGTATGTATTGTTTTGGCTGATCGCTTTGTAGAAGATCGCTCTGCATCAGGCCGAACGGAAGATATCCATTGTTGACGAAAAGTAACTCCTTCGAATGTTGGACGACTTGGCAGGAAGTCTCCGCATGCAGAAAACAAAAGCTGTAGCTAGCACAAGAGCCAAATTAACGAAGTTATTATGAAACGAGTTAGGAAGCCAGTACCTGCCTCGGCTGACTAAACGTTCCGTGCTATACGTTGGTCGTTCAGCGCTCTTTAAATGTAACCCTAGTTTGTTTGATTGTGTAATTGATCGATCCGCGACGGTTTTGAGTTTTGTGTTAGACGTACAATGTTAAATGATGGCTAGAAGTGTGACCGAGTTATGTAAATGCCACTAGGCGATGTATTAAGTCAGTGTCGTTCTCTAAGTTGTAGCCACATTGGCACGCTCCATATTTACTCTTTTTCTGTCTATAGCCTCGTCATAGAGCTTCAGTTGGAATTTTTATTAAACAACGCTGGATACCATGATCAGATTTACGTACATATTTCCAAAGATGAGGATGATTTCCTTGGTTGTGAATCCAGTTGGCATCATCATTGACGATGGTCACTGGCTGGTGTTGTCAGCGCGTCGCTGGGGTCGTGTTGTGCTGCCCATGCTCGTAATCTCCGTAGATCGCAATAGCAATTTTTCCACAACTGCGCCTATAGTACTCTGCTCTCGTTACTACAAAGTCTGCTCTGATCGCTTGCGAATTCTGCCAAAGAAGGTGATGCATTGCTACCGTAGAAAAGCCGCGGCAACTGTGAAGCTGTAATGAATTAGGCGGCGACCGGTAGCGAAAACGAAGATTTGACGTCTGTCCCAGACGCTGTCCTGCGCTATCACCGCTGAAGTCGCTCGTTATCCAGAACTATTTAGATGAATCGGTTTGGCGTCCCGTCTAACCGTTTTGCTGTGAGTACTAACCCTAACTCGACTTATTTCATCATCCCCGAAGTTTTTGTCCCACGTCTATGACGTTTTCATGTTGTTCGTACTGTTTACTGCATGCATGTGGCCATGCTCGTACGTCTATTGTATAGCTTTTTTTGTGGCGTAACTATGTGAGAACGCTGAATCGTAAAACAAACTCCTAACTAATCTAGTTTTCTACCCGGGCCAGTGAATCCCTTCGCGCCCCAAAGGCGTGCGGCAGTTGCGACGCCAACCGAAATGCGAGCTAGTCAAGCGCGCTGGTGTCAATCGTCTGACTGAATTACGCACCTAATGTCGATGTATGCTAGCCGCTGGTGGTGTGTCACTAATATATTAGTAAAATAAAACGGTAGCGATAGCTTCGCGACTGACGAGCGCACGAAACACGGAGGCGCGACCCACGAGACGTGCGTGCCTTCGATTTGCCAGCGGCGGCAGCGATAGGGGCCAGTCAGAACCAAAGCAACCCAGCATTGAATCTGGGAAACGAAAAATCTGCGAAATTTGTTCCTGTTGCCGATTGCTCCAACCGACGCGTTGGTACTCGTTCGCGATATTCAACGTCGCTTCAATTCGCGCTACTCGCTAGCTGTTTTTTGATGCAATTCCGCCTCCATCTTTCGATCCGCCATGCGTCGTCCACCTAGAGACGGGCCACTGAACGCGTCTATAACTGTCTCGGGCTGGGGAAGCCTTCTATTGTTACCACAATACATTCTAGAGATTGCCGAAGCGACGAACGTCTCTGCTGACGACGCCGCCGCCACCACCACCGCCGCCGCCGCCGCCCCTAAACAGCTCTGGTTTGTCTGTTCGTCCAGCTATCGTGCCGACCGCTAGCGTCGTCATTTTTCACTCCGTTTGCTCAGATCTTGTAGCAGCGATGTTTCAGACACCGCTGCCGCCATTGCAGTGGCAGTAAACGGCAATGGTCGGAACTGTCTGTTTTTGTCGTTACACTGGTGCCCCTGTTGTCATCGACATTAACGGCGGTGAATCCTTGTCGTCAGCTCTTGGAACCGCAGCGTTGAGCCACCGCATGCACAACAGACCTCTCTGATGCGCGAATTGCTTGGTAATCCTGACGGTGGTCGTCGGGACACGTTCAGCGGAGCTGCCGCTACGGGCTAGGGAGCATCGGCAAATGCTCCGTCTCGTCAAGTAAACCTACTCGGACTTGGTTCAGATGCTATTGCTGCTGCTGCTGCTGCAGTTCGGCGTATCGGAGCTGGCGCTTCAAAAAGCCAATGATTAGGCCGACGAACGGTAGCACGAGGATGATCTGAAACAAGCTCGATGTCGAAACTTCCCGTGATTACAACATGATCCGTCAGTCAGTTCGTGGTTGTATCAAGCCACTTCATTGTGGTAATAGGATGCTGTGACACCAGCATGGGCGGTGAAGGCACCCCCGAAGCAACCGCGTCGCGGGAGAAGCGGCTACAACGGCAGAAAAATAGTGGATTGGACGATGCAGAAGTCAACCAACCGCTTAGTCCATAGAAGTCGGTCTTCCTGCGACCAAATTGACGTTCAGAGACGGATGATTTGCGCACTTGCAATTTCCATTGATTTTTGTTTACCACTTGAGGTAAACAGGTAAACAGAGGTCACAGCCATATGCAGTGTTTATACAGGGATAGTGTAGGTAAGTATGAACTTTCTGAGAAATTACCAAGGAAAATGTTTAATTTACCAGGAAAGGAAGTTGATGATAAAACATTTCAAGGCATTATTACGTTGAAAAATTATACCATACCATTGGATATTATCGTTGCATAAAAAAAATAATTAAATTTAAACATAATCAAGCTGCAAAAAAAATCCTCTGTAGGAGATCATTCTTCTCTATACGGGTACGTTGATAGCGGCATCACCATTTAGGGGAGCTCACCGTAGTTATTTTATAGCAAGCCTCTACCGACATGGAAATGGCCGACGGGGGAGCAGGCTACCATTTTAGATTACTCATTCATAACAGAATACCACGCACGAGCAAGCCTCGAGTGCTCTTTGCTAGCAAAATCATCTGCCTTAATAAATCAAAAAGATGGAGGCAAATTCCCAGAGAGGCTGCTAAAGGGCGAACTGCGTCGGTAGTTGGTTCCGATTAAGTTGTTTTACGCGTTCGTTACATTAAAATCGGCTTGCTTTTAAGAGCTTCCAATTATAGGCAAGCTTGTCCCCTGAAATAAGCGAAAAATTGCAAAAAACTTCAAAAAAAAAGTCAAGACACTGGAGAATTTTCCTATGTTGCGTATTGATCTCTTGTTTAGTACTACCTCATCATCACTCCCCAGTCATCTGCTGCTTTTGATGCTGTCAGCCTGAATAATCCTCACCTAACCGTTAGTTCAAAGTAGCTTCCCCTATATCTCCATATATTAAAAGCCGACTCCGTTACCTCGTTAATATCAACATCAGTCCTGGTGTTGCGGCCATACTGTGAAATCCGACCATGAGAGCATCGAGAGCCACCGGCTTCTCCCAGGTACCGGCAATTCCTCATGTTGTATTGGTAAAGAGACCACGTTCACCACTCCCTTTTATGCGGTCGAGCGCCGACGCTTGTTGTTGTCGTTGGTAATCGGAATTAGTCGAATGAAGAGCATCGGGAATGTTCCTGGCCGATAAGAAGCGAAGTCTGAACGAGCACCCGAGAGTGAATGGGGAAAAGCTATCTTTGCAGTGGCACTCGAACGAAAGAAGGATTTTGGTGGGCAGGAAAACTTGGCAGTACTTCGTTTGGATATCGAGGATAGAGGCCTTCCTTCTACGTCAACGATATATATGATGCTTACCGTATCAGTGTGGGTTCCTATGTGCCTAACGGTCTGCAAGCTTAATGGAACGAATTCACTAAAATGGAGAACCTAGCTGAGCCTAGGTTGTCTCGTAGTTGTTTGCGGTTACTAATACGAGCAGAAATGAGTTAGACACAAATTGCTCTTTAGCTCTTGTTTTTACCGCCTACACTATTGTCGTTACCCACTGACCACCTATTTTTACGAAAAGTAAAAGTTCACTAAGCAACGTTGTTTGTGTCACGTCCGGTATTTTAGCCGTTAGACATTGCTCCACACGGTTGCCAGCAGGCAACGAAATAGCATGTCTACGCCTACCACCACATTAAACAGGCAAACACTTCACCCGCTGCACTATAACGGGGACACGGGAACGCCTACTGCGCGCCACGTTCAAGACCTTGGTCAAACTACTGTCAATAGGCGCTGCAGAGCTATTTCACTGGGAGCTTGGCTGGTACCAACTTCAGTGAGAATCAGGAGCTCTGCTAAAGGAGGCGCTAGCGGCGTGAGCTAACGGCAAATATTGACACAAGTTGGATTGACACGACGCAGAAGGCACATGCAGGGATGGAAGCTTCCAGTGTGCCAGGCTTCTTGAGGGCAGACGATGTTTGTTGGTTGGTCGGGATGTCGCTGCTGCCGATGGAGGCGACGGTAGCACAGGAGGAGGAAAGGCCACCGAAAAAGCTCGCTCGATACGAACGAACCAGGGCCAAGAGAAGGGGTCAGTGTACTGCCACCGATGGGGTCGAAATTCCTGAGAACGCCTACTATTATTTCGTGGCGGCCTCCATACGAGGAATAAAGGCCTGAAGAAAAGAGGACCGTAGAGTCGATCCGGTGATGGATTCAACGACGGAGGATCGTTGTGCCAAAGAAAAAAACGGCGACAAACTTAGGAATACATTTACATGGAGGTGTTGTCAAATACGCTTAGTTTGCGATCGCACAACCAAAGATTCCTTGTAGCCAGCCCACAGCTGAAAGTGATTGCTTGTGCCTTGGGCTACACTAACCCGTTAATGTACAAGTTTTTTATATATACAATAATGTACTATTTCTACAAGTGTATCTGCTATTTTAGATGAAATTTCTGCATAGTCGTTATCAGTTATTCTATAGCTGCTGTGCCAATATCATAAAGATAAAAATGTAAGTTCAAACATTACTACTGTTCTGAGTACTGAACTTTTGATACAGGCCGATTTGGCCTTTTTGGACATGGAAATGCTGATAATTAAATTTGCAGTAGTAGCTGGGTCCGCAGCACGCTGAGCCACCTAATAAACGAATAAACGAAAAAAAATCTGTAGGACCTCCGTTGATATTTCTCATATATCCAACGAAAACGGTAGACTAAGAACACCGTTTGCAAATCATCCCATATTTACGTCTTCGGCTATGTTACAAATAAAAAAGATAGGTGGCAAACTGAATATTGGCTCATGGGTTAATAGATTAAAGGGTACTTGCTTCTAAAACATTTGCTAGTGGAACAGCTTCGATTAAAAATGTTCTTCCGATTTGCGCCTTTTTTAGGTCATCACATAATTCCGGTTGGCCGGCCGGCGTTGAGACATGAACAGACATGGCTCAGGACAAGTGGGATAAGTGAGGTTCTCAACAGGTTCTGCGCCTTAAGAGGATCAAGGATTGACTTGGGATTATCACCAGATTAGACGGACTAAAATTTAAACACTTTCGTTTGCCTGCAAGCTCCGAACTCACATGTTCTGGGTATTGACCCCGTGCCCTAGTAAAGAGATCTAGTCTATCGTAGCTAATACTACAGTAATTAAAATGAAGCCGAAAAAACTTGCTTGAAACTAAGCTATTAACCTGTATAGGTTATAGCTAAAGGTCTCGAGCCTTCGAAAGCCTGGATCTATTTTTCCAAGTATTCCATATTTACTATTATTATGGTAGGTTGCTCTGCGAATGTGTCCTGGAAATAAATAAAATTCAGTAACCTTATTTGTGTCCCACCAGGCCAGAAAACTACAGGAAGCGAAAAAAATTTATACCAGATCCGAGTACAAAGCATTTTTCTGCTGTTGCCGCTGCCAGTTAACTCGCCGCGGTAACGTCTGGCTTCACCGCTGCAGCCAAACAGAGGTCAAGAACACGAAGCCGATACCGGCCATTCTATACAAGGTAAGACAAAAGCCATCAATAACTTTATAGTTCTTACTTCATATATGTATAATATATGCATTAAGATACAATTTTATTTCAAAATGAAAAATTTATTTGGTCCCAGTGGATAATCCCTTGTAGTTGGAATAGCGTTGTACGTTGCTGAGGGATTTTAGAGCAATATGATGCAAAAGGAAAATGCATTGAGAAAAGCTTCAAATACGCACGTCGAAGACGGAAAACCTTTGACAGTGATCATGCACGGGAACCTGGTACGCCTCACGGTTTTGCTCGTCCGTCAGGGGGTCGTCCATATTGAGTTTAGGCCGCCCAGCTCCTCGGCATGAAAAGCTAAGGAAACTGAAAAGGTAACTAGGACATAACAAATCCTGAGACTTCTATGCCGGCAGTGCACCGGCCTATAATTCACTCCTCAAAAACCCAGTATACATGTTGCCCTAACCCCGTACTCACCGTACGTTTTCAAAACTAAGATAGGCTTGAGGAGGGAGCGTTTCGATACTGTGGAGAAGATAATGAAGAAATCACTGACTAAGCTGGAGGCTATCCCGACGACTCAATTCTAAAAGTGTTTTGAGGATTGGGAACTGCAATGGCATTCTTCCGCATATATTCTTCCGCATAGAGGTTATTTTGAAGGGGTCAACTTGAATTGATATAGTTATTTACAGTACGTAGATGTTAAGGGATTTTTCTTAGCCGGCGACAGACCGTTGTCCAACCAAAGTAGAATAATCGTAAACGCGTACAGGCAGGCTGCGTAAGTACAGTGGGACTTCTAATGGTGGCATATTTTTTTTAAGGCTAATGATTCAACTTCCAAGTTGTAAATATTGTAGCTCTACCGGGTAATAGGTAAAATAAATTTACTTAAAAAAGTAATCCATAATAGCTAATACGTCAACGACAGCAGCGTTCAATTTCCTTTAATACGGAACTCGAGTTTTGACATCCATTTATAGATGGATATAATACCTTCTGTCTATCCAATCAATGAGGTGAAAGAATATAGATTTTAATTCTCATGCTAAATTGATTGATTTCACAAGTAGGCCCTTTTTAGCTCCCGGTAGCCGTTCTTGCATCGTGCATACCATACTTGCCGCACTGTACATTTACCGAGTGCGACTTGAAGGCACACTAGTTGAAGTTGCAGGCTCGCCAAAATCACTTTGTCTTAAGCTTATTAACGAGAGTAGGCCTAGGCCTCCATCTGTTCATCTAGATCGGCCGACATCACATTTCAGTCTATTATATGACATTTTTGTTTCGTTGCATTTGCTACAGGTCAATGCTGTTGGTCAGATAAATACCTGTAACTCTCTAATGATTACACAATGCGTGCAGTGAGATCAGGGAGGCGCAATGGTCCAATACCACATTCAGTGTCTTCCCTTCAAGATAAGAGCCTCCATCCATAGACAACTCAGGGAATCGAAGCACCCTTCACCGTTGAAAAGGACCACCTGTCGTTCCCAGTTAGTTTCACTTATCACAATATACATATATATACGCATACAGAAAGCAATCGTGATAGATCATCAGAGATTTGGTCCATGCACTGTTGCATTGTATTAGCGATCTCGGTTCGTATAAGGTACGTATCTCGGTAAGATCTGCTTTCGTGGGGGACGCGAAGTCAAGAGTCATTTTTATCTCCAAGCCAGCTGATAAACACACCGGAAATTTCAGCGCCATACATATTGGAAATCAGATCATCTGTACTGTTACTAAATGACTCTCAGCCATACCATGGTACATACATACTATTGTGGTATATACTACAGTTTCTGATCGATATTCACAGTGAAGGCAAATTTGTTTGATCACCATATGGTTCGTTCTCTTTTTCTAAAAAAGGAACACACGATGAAAAAAGCCTTTCATGGGTTTCTTTTCTTTTCTTGAAAAACAAGCATCCAATAGTTACTAAAGCAAATATCAAAGCTGCTTTAAGTGCCGACTAATGTAACAAAAAAAGGCCTTCGGCTAAAGCACCGTGAGAATACGACGCAAACGCTATAGGTAGAGAGGTTCCTATCGGTATAATTATTCGAGTGCCCTAAAAAGTGTATTTATTTTATTAAATGTGTTTTACAAATAGGTCTCACTATTTCACTAAATTGTATACGGTAAAATAAAAGACGTTATTAGTTTGTTAAATGATATATCATATGTTACAGCCGCTACACGAGCTTGTGTTGCATTACTGTCTTAAATAAGTGCGGTAAGTAGGACCTAGATAAATTTTCGATATCACTATAGCTTGTTTCAATTAAATTCGCTTCACCCGACCTCGTTAACGTCCTTTCCGGTTTTGGCGGATATAAATTGTCAGGTTTGAGCCTATAAAATTTGAAATACACTGGATTATCTAAGAGAAAAAACTGTCGACTTACGCTGCAAGCAAAACCTCAAGGTAAAGCATCCAATCAGGGTACTATAGTGAATGCTTCAGCAGAAAAGGCACATTGGGACAGATTTGCCAATGTGGCTATTGTAAATGCATACAATCGTAGTACAGATGATTTCTGCTTCAGCATATCTACGATAATTTGTTTAAAAATTCATCGTATGGTGTGCCTTTCTGGGCTTTTCTCACAGATATGCCCCAAGCGAGGTTTTGGTTTTTCCTCTAATACGTACCGGCCCACTATGTTGTATCCCGAAACTGACAGCCGCTTCTTAACTGCAATGCCCCCCCCCCCCCCCCCCCCCCCAGCCTGATCGCTATTCAAATTCGAGTGCGAAGGGGTTAACAGCCCCCTAAATATGAACTATTTCTTTTCTATTTCCTCGTTGTTAAATAGCCGGCGAGCGCGCCTTATAGGGCAAGTCAGTCACACTCGCACAGATCAAGTATTGCTTGGCTTACCCAAGACAACGCTCTCGGAACCGTGAGTCGTCCACACAAGGGTTTTGACTATGTCGTGAACCCCCCGCCGATCGAGTCGAGTGGTGATCGAGTTCTGTTGTAGTCTCAATGGCCGGTGAGTTCGCGATGGCTAGTCCACGCATCGAGAAGTTTCGGCTGTGGTTGTTGTCGTGTTCTCAACCAGTGTTGACCTCCCCCTCTCCACCTCAAACAGAGGTAAGTGTTTACATGGCAACAACCTGCACAGCTTTGGAGACAAGGTTCCTGGCATTAGCAAAACGCAAAAATCACTAACTCGAAAGCGAATACAGCAGGACAGAAGGCCACTCGAACAAAGTCTCGCGAACAACCAACCCCCGTTCATATCACACGACGATGCGGGGTCTACAATGAATACTTTCGATATTATGATCGTACGCGACGTTTTTCGTCGTTAGAAAATGTACTTTTCGTTATATCACGATAAAAGTAGATCTAATTAGACCTAACAGAAAACAACTACTAGCAGATATTTATCGTCCAGCTATGAACGTGCTGAAAGCGTTTCAGTACCATTGTTAAACCTGTTAGAAACAAACCGAAGTCTCTTGTTCTCTATGTAGCTGATTCATATGCGTCCAACGAAATATACGTGATAGCAGTACGGAACATACTACATCGTTAAGTTGTACTACTATGTATGGCAGATGTGCCTTTTTACGTAAAAGGAACGAGCCCATATAATAAGACAAATCATCGTTAAATAGACGTTACGTATATCGGCGCCTGCTGTATGGCACACAGCGCCCCTGGCGGTGTAAATGGAAACTATGCTGCACCCCTATATTGCACCCTATAGCCACTGTTCAGGTAAACAATCACAGCTGATTGAAGCCTATGTTTAAGGTGTAAACTGTGTAATGTTTCAACTGAGTGTTTATCGGATTTAATCGGGTGACGCAAGTACTCGATACGAAGATACGTTTTCTTTTAACCTTCCTTACCTTTTGCAACTGAAAGGAGCGACTTTTCAAAAAGTAATTTAGTATCCAAAGCTCACATTTATTTTCAAGTCCACATACATACGCCGACTTACGGCAATGCTAGACAACTCTAGAGGAAGTCTGTCCAGGAAAGCGGTTTTTCGCGTTTATAAATTTCTTCAGAAATAAAATTGCTTCTTGTGAAGTTGATACGTCTTAGCCTTCCTCTCGAAAGTTTAGCGTTATCAGTCATGTACACTGTATGGGTTACAAGTTCGCTTGCGACCCGAACAGCATATTGAGCGGCCCGATTTTGGTCTCTAAGCTTTCGAGTGTTTCATCGAGTTGCTATGCCTATCTATGCCCCGCTTCTCTCATATCAGATGGTATGCCATCAATCACATCTTCTAACTTTTTAAAAATATTTGAAGAAGCTTCTCGTCGAACGCTTCCAAAGAAGATCCTATCTCTTGTTGTGTGTTCGAAAAGCGAGCAGGATAATACCTGTTTTAGACTTCACATTTACCTCCGTGCATGGTCGAACATAGATGTTTCATTCATTATGCTGTTACCTTATAGCGCTTCGATACGAAATTTTGAATACTGGGCCTAGAGTCTATCTAACCGGGCGAAATAAAATGCCCTTATTGTCTCTTACTATCATGTGTTTCTGTTTAAGCATAATCTTTGTTTAAGCACAAAGACTAGTTCGTATCCTATCCGGTTTTCATCTAACGTTCCTCATGCAAACTTCGGCAGTTCGGCGATGTGTGAAAGTACGCGCACGTCTTCTTGCGTCACGTGACCCATATTTTGTACCGAGCCTGGTATATGTCAGGGAGACGCAGTATTGGGTTCGGGTGGGCTTGAGTAAGAGCCGGAAAATTCTCTTGTCGAGTGTCAATGATGAGCCATTGTTCGAAAGTGTCACGTCGCACTCAGCAGTGCGGATACGTATATATGACCCACACGATCTTTACTTGTGTATAGCTGATAGCGATGGCGACCAGTATAACAATAAATAATATATTTTAATATTGTAAACCGCCAACGCCATAAAGCGTCACGCATTAGTGTGTGTTCTCCGAAAATATCTGTGCACTTTGTTAAACATCTGCCACTGTGTTTTAAAAATCTGCATGTAGTTTTCCTCAAACATAGTTCAGACTCTGCGTTGAAAATGAAAATCTCCACCGCCATATTCCTACGAGAATTTCCGCGGCTATCTTACGTAAGGGACATTTACAAGATCTGATGTACTACTTCATCGTCTAAGCTTATTGCGATTGTCTAGATATCCTTCCTTCCTTCTCTTTCACCTGTCCAAGAAGCACCTCGAAGCGCTATACAGCCATTGAAGTTGTCATCAGCGGTTTAATCAGTCGGCAGTGATCTCAACACCGGTTCATTCTCCATTTAGCTGGTTCAATATGATCCGTTGTCGTATTATGATAATATAATACAAATGATATTAATAGCTTACCGGATTTACTACCAAGAGGCTGCCTCGTGGCCCCTCTATCTATGCAGATTTTGTCACTAATAAAGTGGTAGAGACTTTTTAGCTTTATCTTTACATATTGTTTTTATTTTCGTCATTATACTCATCTTTCTCAGTCGTCATGGCTTTGGTGAGATGAGGTCGCGACAAACATTAAAAGCTACTTACACAGAGTATTCTATAGAAAAGTACCGAAAACGTATATCTAAAACGTCAGTTGATATACCCATACAAATGTACCAAGGCAAGAACCGATAATTAGCATAAGGGGCGCACATAAGGAGGCCTTAGTCTTTTCAGCAGAGCGCCGTGAAGGGATAATCCCTGGCAGAATTAGGATTATTAGGAGTGACGCGAAACGTAGGGGAGATTAGGTGACGTTCCGGTATCGTCTGGTCTGGACGCGGCGGCTGCTGCTGCTGCTGCTGCCAGGTTGGGGTAGTACGAGGAAGACTGCTACCGCTACCACTAAAGCTGACTTACCCTGTTGGCCTTCCGGTGTCGAACCAATCACCGCGATCTGTCAAACATAGAGAAAAAAAAAAGGGAAAAGAAGTTGGGACATATTAACTCAGGTGCTGGGTCGTCCCAGCGGCCGTATTGACGGTGATGACTAAATGCACGTTCGGTCCGGGAGAGAGAGAGCAAGTCTGACTTTTTGTGGAGCTTGTGGCGGCACTGTCGAGAAGCGACCACGATCGCTTTTCAAGCAGGACGAGGTACGCGACGAGGGAGCAACGAACCAGACCTGGTTTGCTAAATATAGTCGAGACAACTCATCCCCGTGTGTCAACGTTAGCCGTATGATTCTGATTTGGTTCTCCTTCGACCTTTCTTTGTACATGAAACAATGCAAAACATCCTTGTCAAATATATTCGAGTATAGAAACTCTGCTAGATGATGGTACTGTGAATTTCTTAGAACAATGACAAGCACATGCGCAATTCTGTGAGACTGTGCTCGATTCAAGGCTGAAGGCCTGAATTAGTTGCAGGTTTATGGATCTATAGTCCAGTTTGGACCAGCGTGGTCAAGGCGGACAAAACTTACAAAAAAATCAGGTACAATCATTGCTTAGTTGCGTTTAGTTTTGCGTCGAGTCGTTGTTAAGTATTATCGTTATTAACGATGAGCGACGC